AAAAATGAGGAGCTGATACCAAGGGCTCAAGTACAAAGAAAATGTTTTGAAAATGATGATGGCAACAAATGTACAAATGTGCTTGACACAATGGATGGATAGATTGTGATAAGAGTTGTACAAGACCCCAATAAAATGATTTTTTTTAAAAAGCGATTTAACTCTGCAGCGTCTCTACTCAGATAACCTCTCTAAGCCACAGGCCAGAGCCTTGGACTGCTTGACTATCAGACAAAGATGACTGTAAACTTGATGTTGCTGGGTCAAACATGGCATCATCGATACTTTGTCAGTTGACCTCCCTCTTGACCCAATGTGAATTTCTTCTAGGCTCAAGTATTTCTTGCTTGTTCCATGACAACGTTTCCCCCCATCAGTTTAAAATATTGTTGGTGGTCTTTTCTTTCTTAATCTTTATCTTCGTCTTTATATTACCATTATTTTCTTCTTGCAATTCTATTTTGGTTTTGCTTTCTTATTGTTTCCCAGCACAGAAGGGATAATTGCAATGGTTTATCAGGGAATTGGGGGAGGTGGGGAGTAGAGAGGGTGAGGGGATTTAAGGAGCAAACAATGAATGTGGGAGGGGGGAGCACTAGAACTGATTGTGATGATGTATTTATCACTCATTTTCAAAGGATTTAACCAGGGAAGTGTATGATATGTGAATATTATATCAAGAAAATGGCTAAAAAAATAAAAAACAACCCCCCATACCATAAACATATGCATGTTTATGCATAGCTTTAAAAAGCGATTTAACTATGGAAGTGTAGGTAGGAAGTATAGGTAGGTAGGAAGTGTAAAAAAGGAAAGAAAGAAAGAAAGAAACCAAACTTGACCTCCAGTTACCATGGATGAAGGAGGAAGAGCATTTGCTTAGGGGATACTGAGTTCAGATTAATGGTGGAATAATTTGGAAGAGGATCTCAATAATAGCGTACAGCACGAAGAGTATCATCAATGGCACTGAATGATACATGCAAAAGTTGTTGAGTCAGAGAACATTTTGTTGTGCATATTTTTGCCACAATTAAAACACAGAAATCACATGAATCACAATGAGTACAAGTAAGAAGAACATGTTCGAAAATTGATTGTGGTGATGATTGTACAGCTCTTCTTGATATGATTGAATGGTATGCTATGTGGATGAAGGGCTAAGAAAACGGTTACAGCAACAACATCAACAAAAAGAGGGTCATGGTTGTACAAAGAAGGATGGTTTTTGGGAGCGGGGAGGAAACATTTAGGAACTAGAGGAAAGTTGTATTTCTCATCATTGTACCCCGCTCCCACTACCATGACTCGAATTCGATCTTGCAAGTCTGGCTAGACCAGAGGAGGTACACTGGTGCAGATAGGAACTGAAAATACAGGGAATCCAGGATGGATGAGCCCTATAGGACCAGTGGTGTGAGTGGCAAAACAGGGAGGGTAAAGGGAGAATGGGTAGGAAAGAGGGAACCGATTACATGGAACTGTGTGTGACCTCCTCCCTGGGGGACAGACAACCGAAAAGTGGGTGAAGGGAGACGTCGGACAGGGCAAGATATGACAAAATACCCATTTATAAACTATCAAGGGCTCATGCGGGAGGGGGGAGCGGGGAGGGAGGGGAAAAATGAGGACCTAATGTCGGGGGTTTAAATGGAGAGAAAATGTTTTGAGAAACGATGTACAAATGTGCTTTACACAATTGATGTGTGTATGGATTGGGATAACAGTTATATGAGCCCCTAATAAAATGTTCAAAAAAAAAAAGGGATGGTTTTTGAGCAAGAGGAACATATGAGGATCTGAGGCAGAGGTAAGAAAGCCTTGAGTGGGAAGCTAGGGAGGGGAAGCCATCACTCCCTCCTGCCTTGTCTAGTGTATGGCCCCCCTACTCACTGGGGGAGCTTTGGCTTCCTGCTTCTCCCTGAGCAAAAATAGCCCTGTGATCTTAATGTAGTCCAGGGCCCTGGACCGAGACCTAAGGCCAGAGAATCCATATCATTTCCACAGGCCTTTAGGGTGGGACCTAGATCCTCCACCAAGCATATGCCCAAGGACCTCTAGTCTCTGGGATCAGATTTGAACCCACTGTTTTTCCATAGGATCATTTCTCTTTCTTATCCCTTCTCCACGCCCTTCTTCCCCAGCCGTGGAAATGGCAGAGAACAGAGACGTGAGTCAACTGCCCCTCTGCTTTCCGTTTTCAGGAACAGTGGACCCAATCTAGAGAGACCCGCGGGGACCATATCCACCTGCCAACATGTCTCTGTGGTCATCTTTCCGAGGGAAGTGGAAGCTGGGCAGGAAGAACGTGGTGGGGAGCTCTGCTCAGTTGCCGAAAGAGGACTATGAAGTCTTATTGGAAAATTGCCTGAGGAATCACTGTCTCTTTGAAGACAACAGCTTTCCAGCCACCCTGAGCTCCATAGGCCGAGGGCCCCTGCTGCAGAAGCTGCCGTCTCGCCTGTATTGGAAGAGACCTCCGGTAGGGGGTGGCTGGGAAGGGGGCTTCTGTACAAGGCACCCACGTGTCCATCTACACCCTCCTACAGAAGAATCAGAGCTTTCTGGTACCAGGCCATACCCTCTCACATTGATCCCCATTAGAAGGGAACTGAGTGAGCTCCCAGAGCCCCATTCTCTAGAGCAGTGGTTCTCCACCTTCCTAATGCCTAGACCCTTTAATACAGTTCCTCATGTTGTGGTGACCCCCCCCACCCCAACCATAACATTATTTTTGTTGCTACTTCATCACTGTCATTTTGCTACTGTTATGAATCGGGCGACCCCTGTGAAAGGGTCATTCGATCCCCAAAAGTGTTGCGACCCCCAGGTTATGAACCTCTGCTCTAGATGGTAAAAGCAAGGGTGAGACTCATCGAATATATAGCTCTTCCCGAGCCCCTGTCTAGACACATACAGAATAGCCAAAGCCCCAAAGAGATCAAGGTATTGTGTGGTCTCACCTGAGACAGGCGGGCTTCCTCAGTAACCACCACCTACCAGAGAGACACATGCTTAATACACCTCTAATCCCCACCAACCAAGAACTTATGAAACATGTACATTAAGAGACAAATCATCACTTTATAAAAGGACACTTTTTAAATGAGCTCAAATGGAATCCATCCCTCCAAATTTGATTTACAAATATGATTTTAAGAACAAAACGAGGGACCAAGGTGAAGTCAACCTGTGCTACAACTTCTCCCCTCCCTTGTTCCCTGTTCTCCTACGGACATACTGCCACTAACATCAGTGGCTCAGACCTATTAAGTCCCTACAAAAGTCCAGTCCCCAGGTGGGTCTCCAGGTGGAGAGCCAAGATTCCACTTTTCCCCTAGAAAACTCTTGAGAACTGTTGGCCTTGAGACTCTGTCACACTCCTTGAAGAAGTGTACCTATGCAAAGAGTGAGGGACTGAAGGTTGGTTGTGTAGCAAAGATTGGCCACCCACACTCACCACTTCTAACCAGCCCACATTTTAACATGCAAAGTGAAAGAGGCCACTTTTTAGGAGGTAAGGGAAGAGAGGGGACTAGAATTTGGTTAAAGAGAATAAGAAAATCTGTAGAAAAAATTAAAAGTATCCCCTAAAACAGTGGTTCTCAACTGTCCGAATGCCACAACCCTTTAATATAGTTCCTCAGGTTGTGGTGATCCCCCCACTCCCTCTGCCCAACCTTAAACTTATTTTCGTTGCTACTTCATCACTGTCATTATGAATTGGGCGACCCTTGTGAAAGGGTCATTCGATCCTCAAAGGGGTCGTGACCCACTGGTTGAGAACCGCTGCCCTAAAAGAAGAGCTTCCATTATTTTAGTGGAAACCCAAAGAAAAGGCTCCCACCTTCTCACTACAAGTGCTTTTTCTCAGTGCTCACATGAAGTTTCCCAGCGTCTGACTTACGTGAGCTGTAGGAAGGCACCAGAGAACTATGCTGTATATCATGAGAGGAATCTACATTCCAGATTTGCTGGGGCAGCTCTGATTTCAGATAGTCTACATCTAATGGCGTGATGGGTCCATGTTGGGCTGATAACCGCAAGGTCAGTGGTTTGAAGCCACCAGCTGCAACGAGGGAGAAAGTCAGGGCTTTCTGTTCCTCCACAATTACAGTCTCAGAAACTTACAGGGGCAGTTCTACCCTCTCCTATAGGGTCACTCAGTGGACTCGATGGCTGTGCGGTTGGTTTTGTGGTGATATCTACAGCTATATAGCTCTAGCTAAGGGTATAAAGACAGAGTCCCTGGAGGGTGCAAATAGTTAAGTACTCAGTTACTTGCTGAAAGGATGATGCTTTGAACTCAGTGAGGGGCACCTGGAAGGCAGATCTGGAGCAAGGTTTTTAAGAGCTGACCCCTTGACAACCGTACGGAGCAACTTGACTCCATACCCACGGGGTTGCCATGAGTTAGAATCGACTTGATGGCAACTAATGACAACCAACAAACATATAAAATACCACATCTGAAGCGAGTTTTCAGGCATGGGAAAGTATGGTCCCTGCAGCTCTAGGAGGAGTCCCTGGTGACTCCAATGGTTAAGTGCTCAGCAACCAACTGCAAGGTTGGTGGCTTGAATCCAACAAGAGGTCTCCCAAAGATCACAGTCATGGAACCGCGGTTGGTGGTTGTAGCTTCTGAACTTCTCTGCTCTTGGTCAGAATGACAATCTTGTCTATTCACGCAGGAGCTTCACAGAAACCCCCAGTTCTTTTCTGAAAACACCAAAAGATTGGACCTGTGCCAGGGCGTGGTAGGTAAGTGCACACAGTCCTCTGAGTCCCACCTCTGGCTGCCTGCAAGCCTTTCCTGGCCAAGGCAAGATGGAACGCTAAGAAGGCAAGTCTGGAGAACCCAGTGGGGAAGATGGGGTGGGTTGCAGATCCGACACCCCATCTGGACATCCTCTGTCCTTTGGTGGGATCGTTATCAAAGCTAGTGCTCTGAGAATTAATGAGAATGCCACTCCTTGGCTAAGACCCAGGTAACCCTGGTTGCCAGGGTATATGTTTAAAGGTTTGCTTTAGGAAAACATTTCCTTCTCGTTTCCACAAAGAGATCCTTCTTGGAACACCAGCATAGAGTTCAAACAGGTCTACCCTCATCCAGCTGTTCTTTTAGGAGTTTATGCAAATGACCCATGACCATCAGGTAAAGTGATACCAATTTCACACCCAGCACCATGGGGTCTAGAACATAAATACGTCACAGATGCAGAATCTTGCAAAGCTTGGGCGTGCTTTGGTCCAACTCCCCAAGGTTCGAGTGTTCAGGAAAGTAGACGTTAGTCAAAGAACATGACTCTGTTAGTGTGGAGTGCATTTCATCAATACAGTGAACCCTCGTTTATCGCGGTTAATCGGTTCTAGACCCTACCGTGATAAATGAAATTCCGCGAAGTAGGATTCCTTATTTGTAAATCAAATATTTTCGTAGTTAGAGCATAGAGGACATGAAAAAACACCCTTTAGTCACCATTACACTCATATTACACAATTTATTAGACAAAAAAGGGAAAATACAGTAAAACATTTTGGACGTTACAATTATCATTTATTATTTATTATATTATTTATGGCATCTAGTTTACAGTATTACATATTTCACATACAGTATTATTATACATAGTTCTTACAAATACTGTAATCAATAGCCTATGAAATGACTTAAGGGATGTACTCTACAGGTGGGTCGCCGTCTTTTTCCTCTGAAGGAGCGGGTGTAGGCAGTGGGTGCTGTTACACAAAAACCGCGATAGAGTGAAGCCGCGGAAGTTGAAGTGCGAAGTGCCGAGGGTTCACTGTATTTCCCAACATCCACATCCTCAACGTCTTTCTCCCCAGTATACATATGCTCCTCTTCTCCTAGCTAGCCTACATGCTCAGAGCGGGTGTCAATGGGGCCCCAAGCCTTTCTTGCCTGCAACAAGGCCTCAGTAGGTTCCTGCAGAAACTTGTAGACTAAAACGTGTGCTGTGTGGCGTAGGAGACTGCTGGTTCCTGGCTGCGTTGCAAGCGCTAACCTTGCACCAGGACATCCTGAGGCGAGTTGTTCCCCTGGACCAGAGTTTCACTGAGAACTATGCTGGCATCTTCCGGTTCTGGGTACGTGTCCTCCTGTTGTCTCTGCCTGCAAGGTGCATTGGAAAGAGGGTTCTTAAAGGGGCCAGGCCTTTACCCCCTGGGCTGAGCATTGTCCATGGTATCCTGGCTCATAAGAGGCACTCTCTCCCTTTAGTTTTGGCACTTTGGGAACTGGGTTCCCGTTGTGATAGATGATCGTCTGCCTGTGAATGAGGCTGGCCAGCTGGTCTTTGTCTCCTCTACCTGCAAGAACCTGTTCTGGGGTGCTCTTTTGGAAAAGGCCTATGCCAAGTAAGACAACCAGAAACAGCTTCCCTCCTTTCCCCTCTCCTCTCTCTCTCTTGTCAATGTTGGGAGATAAGAATGGAAGTGGGTAAAGTCGATGAAGCCCCATCCCGGGCACATTGCAGTGAACAGACGCACCACGCCTAGGGTCTCCATGTGAACAGTCAGGAATTGTGTCTTTCTCTAAAGGATGGGATGGTTTACAAGGAGTAGGGACATTGAATATGTATCTCCTCCTTGACCCCCGGGCGGAAGGAAAATGTTGCAGACACAAGCTCAGAGATGAACAGCAGAGGAGATTCCTGAGGCTCACTGGGACGCGCAGGCTATTGTGTAAAGTCCTTTCCCTTTGCTTTTCATGGGTACTCCTGCCCTGGGCAGGCTCTGCGGCTCCTATGAAGACTTGCAGACTGGACAGGTGTCAGAAGCCCTTGTGGACTTCACTGGGGGAGTGACAATGACCATCAACCTGGCAGAAACCCCTGAAAACCTGTGGACCGTCCTGACCCTAGCCTTCTATAGCAGGACCCTCATTGGCTGCCAGACCGTCTCAGGGGTGAGGCTGGGCTGGGAACTGGGAGAATGTCCTCCTTTCCTGCTCCCCTCCTCTACACCCACCACCCCACCTCTGTGGGGGCCTCTGGACCCCCACGGAGTCCTCATGGTAGGTAAGGCCACAACCGAAGAAAGACGGGAATGTAGAGAGAGACACTAATGGTTGTTCAGCGTCAGCCACTTGGGAGGCAGCTTACCTGTGTCGTTTAGTAGCAACCCGGAGTCCAGAGTGGGGCGCGCTGGGCCCATCCCCATCCCTACTATGGCCCCCTTGAGCCACCTCACACAAGGATGCAGCACTTCTGAATTGGAACTTGTCCTCTGTAAAAGGGGAGTGAACATTGCGGCCAGGTCGCACACAGCGTTACTGAGACTCTCAACTGAAACCGCAGAGCTTTGAGAACTGCAAGGGGACACACACATCAAGTTCCTTTTCCACGCTCACGCTCACTCTCACATGCTCACACTCACTCTCACGCTCATGCTCACTCTCACTCTCATGCTCACACTCATGCTCACTCTGTCACGCTCACTCTAACACTCATGCTTGCACTCACTCTCACACTCACGCTCACTCTCACTCTGACTTTCATGCTCACACTCACTCACTCTCATGCTCATGCTCACTCTCACACTCATGCTTGCACTCACTCTCACACTCACACTCACTCTCACTTTAACACTCACACTCACTCTCATGCTCATGCTCGCTCTGACTCTCACACTCACTCTCATGCTCACGCTCACTCCCCATGAACCCTCGCTCCCTCCAAACAGCTCTCCCACAGACTCTCCAGAGTGAGTCCCACGGAACATCTCTCCTTTGTCTTTACAGACGGTGAAGGTGCTGGAGAATGGACTGGTGGATGGGCATGCCTACACACTCACTGGCATCAGAAAGGTGGGTTGAACTCGGTTCCTCTGAGCCTTTCCTCTCTCCCCACGTGTCCCCCCAAGACCTTGGCTTATCTGGGTAGATAGTTATCTGTCTTTTTTTGGAGAGGGTGTTGTTGTTTGTTTGTTTGTTTGTTTTGTACCCGGTAGAGTATGTTTCTTTTCTTTTAAATCCTTTTATTGGGTGCTCTTACAGCTCTGATAACAATCCATACATCAATTGTATCAAGCACACGTGAACCTATGTTGCCATCATCCTTTTCTGTCTCGATGATGTCTTGATGGACCCACCAGCACCTGCCAAAGCAGAGGATGGGATCCCCGTGCCACTGGCCCTGTTTTCTGGGGTTAGGGAGCAGGTACTCTCCCAACTTCTTTCCCCTGGGAATCACTCAATCTTCAGCTAATTAGCCATCTGTGCCTCGTTGTCCTTTCCTGGCCCACCAATGACCAGTCATAGAGTGATTGCTCCCCCTCAAATTCTTGTTTATTTACCACCTGCTCTTTCTAACGGTCTCTCAGAATCCTCCGATTATTAGCCACCTTTTAAGCTCTACTCAGCATTGAAGAGAGTGTGAGGAAGGTAGGACCCCTGCTCACAAAGAGCTTACAGTCAAGTATGGAGATGAAGTACATTAGAAAATGACAAGGAAGCCAAGTAGAAACAGGGGAGAGAGCATCCCCAAAGGCCTGTAGGAGTGCAGGTAGGAGAGAGGATGCTCGCCATATGGAGGGGAACCCAGGAAGGCTTTGCAGGACAGCTGATATTTGAAAGACGGTTGACAATTGATGGCTGGCTTCTGAAAGATGGCAAGATTTGTACAAGGGAACAAGAACATGTTTTTTAAGGGAACAGCATGAGCAAAGGTGGAGATAAGAAATCTGAAGTTTTAGTTTCAAAGAGCTTTCTCTAGAGCGCCCGACTCGACAAAATGCTTCCGATTCCCTTTAAATTCTCTTTTAGTGTCTTGAACTCAACCCTTATTTAAATCTTCAGCAAGCATATTTGTTTGCCCAGAACTTTTTATATATGTTCATACTGATTTAACATAATTTATATAGCATTTACTAGAGATGAAACACTATTACAAATACTTTACAAATATCAACTCACTTTAATGTCTATAAACGTCTGATGAATATATCAATGTGAATGAGGGTGTGTGTGGAGTGGAGACCCAAAGCCCATCTGTAGACAACTGGACATCCCCTTACAGAAGGGTCACAAAGAAGAGATAAGCCAGTCAGGGTGCACTATAGCACCAATGAAAAATATAACTTTCCTCAAGTTCTTTAATGCTTCCTCCCCCCCAATCATGATCCCAGTTCTACCTTACAAATCTGGCTAGACCAGATGTACACGTACACAGATACAGATAAGAACTGGAAACACAGGGAATCCGGGACAGATGGTCCCTTCAGAACTAATATTGAGCATAGCAATACCAGGAGGGTGAGGGGAAGGTGGGGGGAGATAGGGGAAACTGATCACAATGATCTACATATAACCCCCTCCCTGAGAGATGGACAACAGAAAAGTTGGTGAAGGGAGACATTGGACAATTTATAAATAATAACAATTTTAAAATTATCAAGGGTTCATGAGGGAGAAAGGGTGGGGGAGGGAAGGGGAAAATGAGAAGCTGATACCAAAGGTTCAAGTAGAAAAAACATGTTTTGAGAATGATGATGGCAACAAATGTACAAATGTGCTTGACACAATGGATGTATGTATGGATTGTGATAAGAGTTATACGAGCCCCCAATAAAATGATTAAAACAATAAAATAAAATAAATTTATAAGTCTGATGAGTAAGTATGATTATTAGCCTCATTGTATTGATCAGCAAACTGAAGAATCAAGATGTTCAATAACTGGACCTGGGTGTCATAGCCAGTAAGTAAGAGAGCCACTTTCTCCCTTGTCAATTATTCTTTGATCTTTAAACTTCTAGTTCAAGGTCTGCTCTGCAGGCCCGAGTCTCCCTTAAATAGCTGGAACACGTGAAGTTGGCCCTTATCTAACCACCTAACCTGCTCCTCATTTTGTGCAGGTGACCTGCAGAAACGGACCCGAATATTTAGTCCAGCTGCGGAACCCCTGGGGGAAGGTGGAATGGAAGGGAGACTGGAGTGACAGGTGAACTTGCGGGACTGGCTGGGAGGGAAGGAGACAGAAGCAGGTGAAGGTTGCCAAAGAGGCTACCATCGGAAGACAAATCACACCTGTTTGTCCCGTGCTCTCACTCGGGGACAGGGAAGGTGTCAGAGTGTGAGAGTCTCCCCCTCGTATTTCTAGAACGCTTTATCATCTCTAAACTGCTTTTTCATTCCTTAAAACACTTAAAATCAGGATTTTAAGGGAAGGCTTGTCAGCACGATGCCAACCCCTTTGTATTGCTATTATGTCCTCTTCCTCCAGACAAGGCTGTTATAAGGCAGGCTACGTCTCTCTGCCTTTTAGTGATGAAGAAATAATGCTTAGATGGAATGAATTGCTTCATGCCCTAGAATAGGACTCAGAGTGGGGTCACTGGTGTTGTGTCCAGTGCTTCCCAACACAGTTCAGGACTCTCTTGGGATCACTGAGTCAAAGGTCCCTACACTCTAGTCATGGTCAATGACCTTTGCATTTTTGGATTATATGTTTACCTTTAGGTTGTATATTTCAGTCTAAAGCCAACATCAGAGGAGCCCTGGTGATGTCGTGGTTATGCATTGGGCTGCGGTGACGTCAGCAGTTTGAAACCACCAGCCGCTCTGTGGGAGAACCCGAGGCTTTCTAACCTGTAGAGGGTCGCAGTCTTGGAAACTCACAGGGGTGGTTCTACCCTGCCTTTAGGGTCACTGGGAGTCAGAATCGACGGCAGGGAGGTTGGTTTGGGGTTTAGAAAGGTAACCTTAAAGAGGAATGGCCTACTTCGGCTACTTCCTGGTTGGAGGTTACAGGCAGACGGGGAGTCCTACCCATCTCATTATAAAGATTTGAAATGCTTAACCCTGTATACACCTTAGACTCTCCGAGGATGCCCACATACACGCACGATCACTTCTATTTTATAGTGGAAAATACTAAGGCTCAATAAAAGAAGCAGAAATGGACTCCTGACAGTTTGAACTGCTTTATCTTGGTGATCTATCAGTACGTAGATGCGAGTTGTCAGAGGGGCTGGATCTAAGTGGGAAAATGGCATCCATAGAAAAAGATGAATTTCAAAGTGCCACAGACATGGACCGTCATACTGCTTGCCTATCTGCTTTTTGACATCCTTCCCACATTTTGTGAGTCAGAGGGGTGGTGAGGGCTGAGGGAGATGATGGGTTTTATGCTGCCGTGCCTAATCTGTTGTCAATCTCCATCCGATGTGTTTTTAATTTAAGAGGGGTGGCTTCCAATTCTATAATCTGCACTCAGAGCTTTCTGCGTGTCCCAATGGTTGCCTTACTCGCTTCACATGTCCCTGCAGATCCATGAGAATGGGGAGCATATTCACAGTAGCTGTTTTAATGTCCTCACCTGCTACTTGCTTCATTGCTTATGTCGGTTTCTACAGTCTGTTTTTTAAATTCTAGTAATGGAACACATATCCCTGCTTCTTCACACATTAGACATTTTTTTAATTAGATGCCAGACCTTATGAATTCCATGTGGGCTTAGTTGACGTCCCACTTAGATGTTGGTTGCTTGAAAACAAGCCTTTAAGATCCTAGATACTATTATTTTGGATAGCCAGGCACCATCTAGTTTCTTCATAGCACTTCACTAGAGCACCCATAGCTTCTATTTTTCATAAACCTTTGAAGCCCCATTCATATCCTGGCCTGTTGTTAAATTGCTTAACTTTTGAATCCTTACATTTAGAACATTTAAAAACATTTGTATCACAAATCTAAAGAGAACTCACCCCGCCCCTCACCCTCCCACCGTAGAGTGAATTTAGCTGCAATAGTAAGGACTGGATTGTCTGCATCTCTATGGGAGGTCTCATGCATTTAGTACAGTCTCTTAACTCTGTCAGGGATTCATGTGGTTCCAGTCCGTAGGTGAGCTCTGGGATGACTTCTGCTTACAAGTTCCAAGTAATTATTCTTCCTAAGGAAGGTGTTGTGTGGGTGTGTCCACAATTGATTAGCAGAACTCAACAGTATGCGAATTTGCGGAGCTCTCTCTTCAGGTAGCGCCCCTCCTCTCAAGTCCTTTCCCCAGCACATTCTAGTTGCCGTGGGGTTCCCTACTCTCAGATTTCTGATCCTCTACTGCCTTGTCTGATGTCTGAAAAGAGTTGTTTCTTATATCGATCCTATTTGTCAGGGAGGGTGATCCAAGATAGTCTTACTCTTTTATGGCCAGAAGTAGAAATGCAAAAGGTTAAGGCTGGAAAACAAGCCATACCAACATACGTATCAACACCAGCTCTGCCATCTAATCACTCTAAACATGTGACTTAATCTGTATCTTCAGCTCTAAAATGAAATAAAACTTCCTACCTTTCATGCGCGTGATGACTTTCTACCTTTCATGCGCGTGATGATCCTTAAATGAAGCCGAGCATCTCCATTGCTTAACTCAGTGCTTGGCTTGTAGTAGGTACACAGTGACTCTGAGCCATTGCTCTCACCATATGGAGCTTGAGGTGTCATTGTCAGCAAAACGGCATAACAATCGTGATCAATAATGGCACTATAAAGTCTTTAATAAAGAATTTCTGGCATGTCACCCATAACCCTTTCCTGCTCCTGAAAATGCCTCCTTTTGGTTTTCAGCTCAAGTAAGTGGGAGCTGCTGTGTCCCAAAGAGAAGATTCTGCTGCTGAGGAAAGACGAAGATGGACAGTTCTGGTACTTGACTTGGGGCCTTAGGTTCTCACCTGGCAGGCGTTTGAACATCAATCCAGCAGACATTTATTGGGTGCTTCTATCGGCCCGGCGACGGGTGCAGAGAGGTCAATCAGACACAAGCTCTACTCTTCAGGAGATCACAGTGCAGCACGGGAAGCAGGCTCATAAACAAACCGCCAGAGCTTAGTGATAGGTGCAGTGATCCTGGCCAAGGAATCTGTGGGCATGAGCCCTTGGTCCATGAGTAGGTCAATGGAAGGTGGACCACTCCTTCTCTCTAGTCTCCACTGTGGTCTCTTGTTGACTATATAATAAAAACTCTTGCCAAACTATAAGCCCCTGGACATGTATGCTGCAGAACAGGGTAATATTACCCCTATGCACTCCTGAGTCTACTCATTCCATTTTCTGAAAAGACATGAAGCCATCCTGAGCTCACGATGCCTCTTAGTGTGTGGCGTGAGATCCATCTCTCTGTTCCCCTGTCCTTGTGCCTTGTAGTATTGTCCCCTTTAAATATCCCACCGCACATGTATGGGCATTAACGGCAACCCTTGCTGCCATAATCTGTCCCCACTCCCCACCCCAAATCCTCCAGCCAGGTCTCATATTCTTTACCTATCCAGTTTGGCCTGCGATGGCCGTCTCTTTTGAAAGTCTTTCACTGAATGCAAAAGCGCTGCTGAAACTATTATTCTACTTAAGAAAAATGAGCCCAAGACAAGTTAAATAGCAAAACCCAAGTCAAAAAGTTAGCAAATAGGTGTTAATATATTTAACTCATCACCAAAAATGGAGCTGTGCTATTCATGTCGAACATTTAAAAATGACTGGTGACAAGGGCCTCTGTTCAGCGGTTAGCACTGGATGCCACCAAACCAGAGCATTGCCATCAGGCAGCCGCCGGAGGAAGTGATCTGTACCCAGAGAATAGGATTTCCCAGGAGTCCTGACCTGCCAGTGACGGACCCTCACTCTGGTCTGGCCCAGCTCCTGTGTCTCTAAGATCAGATCAGATTAGCTCTTCTCCAGATCCTGGGGGAGGGTCTTGGCCCAGGCGAGGGCTGGCATGGCCCCTACAGGTTGCACGTCCTCCCTTTGGTCCTGATGACCAGGTGACATCTCATTTGTCCCTTGTCCCTTCCTTCCCACAGGATGACACTGCAGGACTTTAAAATGCATTTTGCGCATCTGTTCATCTGTAAGCTGACTCCCGGCCTGTTGAGGCAGGAACCTGGCCAGAGGTGGATGTGCACCATGCGGGAGGGGAGATGGGTCAAGGGGAGCACCGCTGGTGGCAAATTGAAGTCACCCCTTGGTAAGCATGTGCACAGGCATCAGGGCCTCTGGGGTCGACGGGGACAGCTTTTCCAAACAGGGATGGGGTTCAGGCTGAGCCCCTGCATGTAGCTGTGTGGTTGACATCCTCTGCCTGAGGACCAGTGGGCTCTGCTCACTAAGCCTAGTGCTCTGGCTTAGTGGACTGTGTCCACTGGGTAGCTGGGACACTTTTCTAAGGGGTACAAAGATGCAGTGATCTGAGTGGGCCTGTGAGCCTGTGGAAGTGCGTCTTTCCCAAGGGGCACCTCTTCCTACTCAGCACAAAGGATCCTTTTGGACCCATAGAAGCCCTGCCCGTAGGCATGCATGCCTGTTACAAAACCCAAACTGAACGGAACCCACTGTCGTTGAGTGGACTTTGACTCATAGAGACTCCACAGGACCAATTCGAACGACACATCAGCTTTCTGAGAGTAAATATTTATGGGAGCAGGCAGCCTCATCTCTCCCCCTCGGGGCAACAGGTAGGCTTAAACTGCTGACCCTGTGGTGGGCAGCCCGATGCTTGATCCACAGTGCCACGAGGGCTCCGTATGCACAGTGCAAGTGTGGACTACATCTTTCTTGGTTGGCATGAGTCAGGAATAACAGCACTTTATTTGTTTGTTTGTTTGTTTTTTGGGGGGTAGGTTAAGGCTATTGCTATGCTGCAGAAACTACCCTTTCATGGCCAGAGGTAGATACTAATTATATTTATCAGGCCCACCTTATCTGGTACTTGGTCGGGAAACTAGAGACAAGAAATATCTCTAAGTTACAAGAGATGAACACATCTGAATTCTCAAAATGGAGAGGTTTGGGGGCTCTGTCGTGTCCTCCACAAAGGAGAGAGGGGGGTGATTCCATTGGAAACAAATACCCATGGGATATACTCTCAGTCAGCCAACGTGGTCTGAGCTGTGGCTTCTTCCCCACACCAGAGAAGTGCCCCCCAAGGCTGAAGCCACCACTACCATGCCAATGCCCCTGGGATTTCAAGCGCTGTTTGCTAATCCAGTTGCTGCTTCCTCCCTCGGCAAATGCTAGGTCTCCTTCACTCAGTGGCAAATGATGGGCCACAGTGGGCCACGGCAGTGAGAATGTGGGTGCCCTGGTGTGGAAGGTGCCCTCTGAGGGGATTGGTGAGCTTGACTAAGATGGCCAAATGAGGAGGGAGCCAGGGACCAGCTGACAACTTTTGGCGTTCCGTCCCAGACACATTTTGGAAGAACCCGCAGTTTCTGCTATCTGTCTGGAAGCCCGAGTTGGCCAGGAGGTCTCTGCATCCATGCAGTGTGCTGATATCTCTACTCCAGAAGCCCAGGCATAGGCACCGCACCCGGAAACCATACCTCGCCATCGGCTTCTACCTCTTCAGGGTAGGTGGGCTTCTAAGGGCCTAGGGATGTGCCCGGAGGGCCCTTCAACACCTCTCTACCCTTCCTCTTTCCTGTCCTCTTCACCACCCGTCTCTGTCCACAGGCCTGGGTTTGAACCCAGATTCTGTCCCTTGGCAAAGGTGCACTAGAACAAGGTACCTCTCTGTACTTGAGTATCAGCTGCCTCATCTGCAAAATGAGCACCATCATCTTTATCCTGAGTTGAATAGAATGACCATGCAGGAAGGCTCATCTTTGGGTCAGAATCATTAACCACTACTTACTCAATATTGGATTCCTTTTCCTCCTCCAGAAAGCCAATAGTTCCTTCCCACACCCTTTCCCTGAACTTCAGATATTGAATCAGAATGGCATTGACCCGAGTAGCAGGCCTGTGGAAGGGGCTGGTGCCTCTGGGTGGAGTCTTCTATATCAACCTCCTACTAGGGTTGGGGTTTGTGAAAGAGTCAGAGTCCTTGTGTAACGAGATCTTTCTATTCTTGTGTTGTAGATGCAGGGGGTGAGTTTACCCTTGACCGGCAGGCCCTGGTTTGTGGTGGTATCCTGCATGGCCAAGCCCCTGTCGGTTTGGGTGGGCAGTCTTCACTTGATGTATGCCAATTAACTGAAGGAGCTCAGCAAAG